CTGCCCGGTGTCCCACGAGCGTTCAAATATCCCCGCCAGTGGCTGTGCAATGACGTTGGCCAGTGCCTTCATCACCCTCGGATAGAGCTCATCCGGGCCTGCCGACTTAAAGGCATCCAGTTCCTCCAAGTGCCTCTGCACCATCTCAGGGTCTACGCATGGTAGTCTGGTGCCTTGCTGCTGCCTCTACAACCCCAGGGAGAGACTTGTCCTGCCCCTCGCTTAGGGACACTGAGGCAAAGAACTCATTGAGGAGTTCAGCCTTGTCCCCGCATCCGGCACCAATTGTTTCTGCCCATTTAATAGGGCAGGGACCTTCAGGGGTGAAAGTGTCACTTGCTTACCAGGGTATGTTAGTCCAAAGCAGAAAAGGACCTGGGAGTGACACAGGACTAGAAACTGAATGGGAGCCAACAGGATGCCCTTGTTGCCAAGAGGCTAATTGTATCCTGGGCTGCATTGGTAGGAGCGGTGCCAGCAGATGGAGGGCAGTGAGTCTTCCCCTCTGTTCAGCACTGGGGAGGCCACATCTGGAGTCCTGTGTCCAGCTGTGGGCCCCCACTACAGAAAGGATGGGGACACATTGGAGAGAGTCCAGTGGAGGTCAATGAAAATGGTTGTGGGGATGGAGGATGGGACTGGTGAGGAGAGGCTGAAGGAAATGGGCTGATTTAGTCTGCAGAAGAGAAGACCGAGGGGGATTGAATAGCAGCCTTCAACTCCCTGCAGGGGGGTTCAAAGAGGATGGAGCTGGGCTGTTCTCAGTGGGGGCAGATGACAGAAGGAGCAATGGGCTCAAGTTGCAGCAAGGGCAGTTGAGATTGGATATTAGGAAGAACTTTCACACTAGGAGGGTGGTGAAGCACTGGAACAGGCTCCCCAGAGTGGTGGTAGAGTCTCCATCCTTTAAGACCCGGGTAGACAAAGCCTTAGCTGGGATGATGTAGTTGGGGCTGGTCCTGCTTGGAGCAGGGGGTTGGACTAGATGTGACCTCCTGAGGTCCCTTCCAGACCTCGTGGTCTTTGATTCTATGATTCCACTATCCTCTGTGTAAACACATTTCATCATGTTGCAAGACCATGTAGCCAATGAGGCCTTAGGCAGGGCCCACGTCATGTGAAGGGGCCTGAACAGCTCACAGTGTGTCTTGGGGTGTATGAAGGAGCCAGGCGTGAAGCTCCTGGGGCAAGGGGATTAGAGCCCCATGTTGGGCAGGGGATTAAGGCCCAGTGTTGGGCAAGGGATGAGGCCCCAGTGCGGGGATGTGAGGGGACCAAGAGGGTCTCAAGCCAGGCAGAAAGGTTGAGGAAAGGGAGAGGCTAAGAGCCCTTTGTAAATGAGATTGAGAGCCCAGTATGAGGGCACAGGGATTATGAGCCCAGTGTGAGGGCATAGGAGTGAGAGTCATTGAATTGTGAGGCATTATGGGTCCTAGTGTGAGGACACTGGATTATAGGCCAGGTGTTAGGCCGTGTATGCTAAGACTGGGTGTTAGGCCATAGATGCTGTGGTGGGCCACTAGGGGAAGCTCCTGCGTTAAGTCCCCTTCCGGTCCCCTTGTGTCTCTCCGGGGGCGCCTAAGCCCTGGCAGACCCCCTTTCGAGCCCCACCGCAGAGTCCAGGGGTAACGTGTGCTGCCACCACCCCGAGAAGGGACTATCTGGGGCCTGTGTCCTTGGAGAAACACAGGCCTAATAGTCCTACAGGTACTCGACCCAATACAAGAACTTGGGGCACTTCTCCAAGTCGGGGGCCAAAAAGGATAGTCTCCCTTAGTCCGCAGACCCAAGGGGCCTCCTAGGCATAATTAAACCCCCCCCTCAATAAGTCTCCCACACTAGGTACAAAGAAGAACCTTATTGGTTACAGAGGGTAGGGTTAGACTAGGGAACAGGGTAGAGCAATATCAGAGAAATCCCATAGAGCAAACCCCTGTGGCTGGGGTAGCCTTTGATCTCACATCTGAGTTACTGCAAGCTATATATCTAGTTGGATCTCAGTTAGCTTACTCACAAGTGTCATCCAGAGGCTGCTGGAGATTCCCTCTGGAGGCAGGCAGTTCCTTGATCATGAGTTTTGAGAGAGAGAGCAAGTTTCAGATGGTACAGCTCTTCTTTGTTCCCGAGTATCCCTCACGGTTGCTGCCTCCCCTCTCCCCCCGGATTCTTTCAATGGATTCTTTCGTGTCCCTGCCTGTTAGACAATGATTCCCATGTTCAGGTGTGTATCTTTTAATCTTCCCCCAGAGGTGCTGGTGCTGCAGCCCAGGCTGGGGATGGGGATGGGGCTGGGTTGTGCCAATGCTCCTGCTGGCACCAACCCCGCAGGGTCCTGGCTGGAGGGTCTTGCCCCTGTGCTCAGGCTAGACCAACGCTGCACTGGGGGCCAGAAGGGATTTTCTCCCTAGTCAGACTGATCTGGACTGAAGGGGGCTTTTGCCTTTCTCTGCCTCTCCCTGGGGTCTCTGCAAGGTATATTAATACCCTTTTACAGAAGCAGGATGTTGGCTAGTGCAGCCCCCCTGCTTTCCCTGTGGCACATTCGGTGGTGATGTCTGGTGCTGTGTCAGGCTGAGGATAATTTTATAAAGGGATTGTGGATTTGTCTGGGCTGGTTTGGACAGGGCTGGTCCTACCTCTGGCAGGGCTTGCACTAGATGTGACCTCCACAGGTCCCTTCCAGCCTCACATCTCTATGATTTGCCTGCATGGTTATTTCTTGAGATCTATCAGTTAGCTGGCATTTGATCTCTTGGATCCATGCTGCATTGCTTTTGGCACAGAGATGAGGTGCAAGTCAGAGCGTGGTGTGGCACTAATTGCCCCGTAGCAGCAGAGGGTCTGCAGGGCTTCCTTCGTTGGACAGCCTTGGTATCTCCCAAAAGACGCCTCTCAGATAGGTTGATTCAAACCCATTTTCCACGTGGCCAAAGTGCCTGGCATTCATTATGCCGCCATCCTTTAAACCTTTAACTGATCATGTTTTGCATCTGCTCTCCTGAGATTTTTGCAGGACTGGTGTCGGGTCAACCCTCCCAACCGTCCCACAGGTCTCTGGGTCTAGCACGTGCTCTGTTTAAATGTTGGAGCACCCCTTGCATTATTCAAGGACTCCAGGATGTCCTGGGGTCATAAATAACTGGAGCAGCTGGGCCAGCTCCTGGGCCAGTTCCCATTCACGTGCCCCCGGTGCTCACACCCCAGGAGAGAAGTGAAAGCATGCCATGCAAGTGAAGTGACGTGCGTGCCCCTCAGCTCTGCTCATGTGAATCATTTCTTCCCCTTTCTGTTCCCACCCACCTGGCTATTGTTTTGTTTTTTCAAAGCTGGAATTGCCCAGTTCCTAACGCTGACCACTTCAGCAAAGACCTTTCCTTCGCTGTCCATCAGGGCCTTAGTATAGGTGTCCCCAGCTCTTGCCCATGAGGCCTGGAGATGTGAATGCAGATCCTCTACCTTTCCCTGCACTTTGTGCCTCAAATTTGGATCAAGAGGTGGCAGGCTGGAGGGTTGGCTGTGGTCTGCTGGCCCCCGAAGCTTGGGAACCGCTGGTCTAACACAGCCGGGAGGGGGCTGTGCGGTGGGTGGGTAGTTTTCCACTGAACCGATCATGTGATAGACAAAGCCGATACGACAGCGGACACGTGGTTTGTGGTGAACGAGGTGCATGATTCATCTTCCTCATCTCTCGTTGTGCCCAGCTTGGGCGTCTCTAAAGGTCTCAGCTGCATCTGACTTTCTTCTCCACGGCCCGAGGGCGTGTGGTTTGCATTATCAGAGAATTGCCTGAGCTCGTTTTCGGTTCCCATTTCACAGCTCACACGCTATTGTGAGACAAACACCTTCCCTAGATAGCCGGGTAGACATGGGCAGCCTGAAGATGAGAGCAGAGGATGATATCTATGAGAATATGTTCAAACCTGCCATCCTTCAAACATCTCTCAGGAAGGGTAAGATGCCTCTGGTTGCTTTTTACACCTCTCCTGGGCTCTTTTGTCTCTCTTTGTCTCAGTGATTTTGCATATGAGCAGCAGCTGATGGTGGTGCCGGGGCCCTAGCTTGAGCTGTCAAGACTGAAAAATCCCTCATCAAATGCACGGTTATTTTACCTGAACAGTTCATTCTTTTTTGCTGCCCTTGACACTTCCAGATCTCATTGAGGACCGTTTCCTAGCTCCAAAATGGGAACCTGTAGCCTGGGAGATTCTCTGTGAAGCCTCTTGGTACTTTCTTAGCATCTGCTGAAGTAGGCTTCTGCCTACGAACGCTTCTGCCTCTCTGAGCCAGTTAGCATCTAAGGTGCTGCCCTGCTTTGCCTTCAGCCTCTTCTTCCTGGTGGCTGAGACACAGACACTTCAGCAAGGCATTTGTCTCGGCATTTGGCCTGAGAGGCGGCAGTGATACAAAGCCAACCCACATGAGCTACAGGGAGTAAGGATGGGCTCTGCGATAGCTGTGAATGGGGAAACATCCCCAAGAGCGGACATCACCAGCAGGGTCCCACGCGGATCTGCTCCCGGTCCGTCACCACTCGGCATTTTTTATCAAGTGAACAAAGAGGGCAAAGCCCAGGTCTGTCCCTTAGGTGCCTTCACATGGGAGCTGCAATGGCTAAAGATTAGGCTCCTGGCATAATCAAGTGACCAAAAGAAGCAAGGGGAGGATGTCGAGCCAGCTTCTATTTCATATACTCGGTGTCTAAGTGGACCTTAGACATCCAAGTGCAATTTTATGCCAGCCTGTTCAAGCCCCAAACACCCATTGATGCAGCTACTTGGGTAACTAGTGTCGAGTGTTGGGGACAGGGACAGGGCTGTGCCAATGCTCCTGCTGGCACCGACCCCGCAGGGTGCTGGCTGGAGGGTCTTGCCCCTGCGCTCGGGCTCAGCCCAATGCTGCACTGGGGCAGGAAGAGAAAAAAGTTGCATGGGTCCATACCAGGTGAAGATAGAGGCTGCGGCACTTTGGGGATATGGTGAGACTTTTTTCTCTTCCCTCAACTAAACCAAACCGTGAAAGGAACAAGATGTTGTGATGTGGAAACCATAAAACAAAATGCAACGGCGCAGCTTTTAGCAAATCTGCAGATTGCTCATCAGAGGGGCTTCCAACCATGGCAGAAACGTTGGGGGAAGTGTGCGGCTGCAGAAGGAGCATGATTCGAAGGAGATTAAGTCGAAACCCCTGTAAATAAAATGTTTTGTTTCCTACAGCATCAGTCTCGATACTTTTTGGACAGACCACACACACACACACACACACACACACACAGGATGTTATTTGCTGTGGTCCCCTTGCTTTTCCTGTGACAGTTTTGGGTGTGATGGCTTGTGTTGTGTTAGGGTTGATGGCAGTTTTGGTAAGAGGTCAGACACGGGGTTTGTCCGGGCTGGTTTGAACAGGGCTGATCCTGCCTCAGGCAGGGAGCTAGACTAGGTGTGACTTCTGGGGGTCCCTGCCAACCCTACTTTTCTATGATTTCTGTGATCTAGGAACAAAGTGCACAGGGCTTCATGGAAGAGAGGGGTCTCCGTCCTGGAAAGCAGTAACTCAGAAATACCTCGGGCTCCTGCTAGACCAGTGGCTCTCAACTGTTTTAGACTCAAGGCAGCTCTGGATAGACTTGAGGCACCCCTGGATACATTCAAGGCCCTCCTTGGAAAATATCAGCTCTCAGTTTTCTGGGGGTTTTTTGCATACAGAAAAATACCGGAGCGGTTTTTCTATTGCAAAGAACTCAGAAATGTACAATTATGCATCTCTTGGAAATCCCTGAGTTTCTCTTGTGAACCATGTTTGTACCCCTAATGTTGCGGCACCCTGAAAGGCGGTCGAGGCAGCCCAGGATGCTGTGGCACCCTGGTTGAGATTCACTCTGCTCGACTGTCGGATGCAGGGGTGACCCTGCTGTCACAGGGGCTCACGCTGGGGTTGGCTGTACAAACCGGGGGCTCTTGAGGGGACGAGAAGGTTTATCATCTTACCTCTGAACCTGGCCCTGCTGGAGCCCTGCGTCCGGTTCTGGGTGCAGAATTCGGGGGGTGGGGGGGTGATGTCGTCGTGACGTACATTTCCTCTTCTCCTCCAGGAAACCCACCAGAGTCATCTCCAAAGAGAGCCCGTATCCTCCACGCTGTCCTCGTTGCCTTGAGTCTCCTCCTCCTTGCTGCCCTTGTTTTCGTCACGGTCACCTGTAAGTTCGGCTGTAGCTGCAAAGACGACGTGGGTGTGAACGCCTGGGCCTTTTTTTATTTAGAAACCACTGATTTAACATTAGCCTAATATAGAAAGGCCCTATAAAAAGGAGCTGTTGGGGACAAGCTGGAGCACTCTGGTGTCAGGAAACTCCAAAATGACAGTGTCCAAGTATTGAGGGTGTTGGTTGTAGTCGTGCTGGTCTCAAGACACAGGCAGACAAGGTTCTTTGGGTAAATGTGGTATCTTTTATTAGACCAACTCAATAGTTGGGGAAATTGTTCTTTGCAAGCTTTCAAGCACAAACACCCTTCTTCAGTGCTGATTACTTCATTGTTCATTCTTGCTTTGAATATAGCAGTCAATAGAGTAGTCAAGGTTTTATTGTCCACAGTCAGGTGTCCAATCTGATGTTTTTTGGGCGTTGATCTTTTCTTCGATGTTGTCAAAGGATTTTGAAAGAAAAATAGTGTTTGTACCCAACAGCTTGCAAAGAACAATTTTTCCAACTATTTAATTGGTCTAATAAAAGATATCACATCTACCCAAATAACCGTGTCCAAATCTGGCACTCAGAGCCTTGGCAGGTAGATGTGAATTATAGCATTTCAAGATATTACTATCAGGTCAGGTCACACCACACACAATAAGAATGATAAATGTAATGGTGAGGCCGCATCTGGAGTCCTGCATCCAATTTTGGCCCCTCCAGTGACCCAAACCCTAACCCATGGTGCCTTTCTCCTGTCTTCACTCCTGAAACTAGACAGCACCTGGCACAGAAAGCAGTCACTGGGGAAGTGGGGTTGTAACAGATGCTAGGAGATGGGCTTAGGGCAGTGACTGTTCCCCTCTATTAGGCACTGGGGAGGCCACATCTGGAGTCCTGTGTCCAGCTGTGGGTTCTCCACTACACAAAGGATGTGGACACATTGGAGAGAGTCCAAAGCCTTGTCTGGGATGATGTAGTTGGGGCTGGTCCTGCTTTGAGCAGGGGCTTGGACTGGATGTGACCTCCGGAGGTCCCTTCAACCCTCCTTGTCTGTGATTTTAGGATCCAGCCAAAAGCCCCAGGGTGATCGATGCTCCTAGAAGCATCAATACAGCTGAATGAAATTCTTCAGCCCCACAAACAAAATGATGGGTCCAATGGTCTCATCTGGCCTTGCAAGTTATTTTTGCATCTCCTGCATCTCTTCTTGTGTCCTCTTTCAGTAATGATATCCACACAAGGACCAGAGGTGAACATGGGACTGTCTGGTTGCAATCTCGGGGGTGAAAGGAAAGTCTTTAGAAATTCCCCTATACACAAGATGGAAATTTCCCTGGGTCTCTCTTGTCTATGGAGGCTTGGAAGGTGAAAGAGGTTCTGTTAACTTGGAGCTCAGATCGGTGACAACCATTAACAGATGCCGAGGGTGGAAATGGAAACCTAGCCCAGGTCTTGGCAGCTTTTTGGTGGTGTGGCAGCCCTGGTCCTGGCATTGACACTCCTCACTGATCCCATCCCCTCTGCAGTGAGGGAAGCACAGACGTGGCTGGGCAGCAAGTGCCGGCGTGGAAGGGAGCGCTGCAGACAGGATGGGTGGCATGGTGTGGATCCTGGCCATGCGGCCCATGGGGTCCACAAGATGTTGAGCCTTGGTCTAAGCTACAGTCGAGCTACTACCAGCTCCTTTGCATGGCAGCGGTTTCACCAGGCACGATGCAGTGCATCACGGCATGAGGCTGAGTGTGCAAAGAGTGGCCGTGAGAGGGAAATGGCAGTTCCAGGGAGCAATGCAGCCTCCGTAAGGCCTTAAGGAAATCACTGTCTTGCCTTAGGGCATGGGGAAGGGCAGGGCTTTGGACTTTCTTACCCTCTCCTCTCCTCCTTCCGTGGGCGCTGCCCCCTAACCGAGCCCGCCCCGACGTCTTCCCTAGATTTACAGGAGCGACGGGAGAAGCGTCGAGTGGCCGAAGCGGTGCAGGGCATCCGAGACTTCTGGAAGGAAAATGGCACCTTGAACACGTTGGTCCTGGAGCAGACGGGTGAGCAGCACTGCGGGACCCTGCCTGCTGCTGGCCCCTGCCCATGCACCCCTCGGACTGGATCGTAGCCACCGCTGCCAGCCGTGGCAGTGGGTGCAATGGGCACATGGGTGGCATCCCCTGGGGCGGGGGGTCAGACAGCCGTGCCGGGAACACCGTATCTCCGTGCTTCCTGTCGCACACGTGCCAGCCAGGCACGGGCATCCTCTCATGTGCCAGCTCTGCCCACGCAGGCCTGGAATAGGTTTATACCTGTGCCACGCAGCAGGTCCTTATTAACCCTTTCCGTGCTTTCCAGGCCAGCAGCTGGTGGGCGAGGTTCAGCTGTTAAGGGGCCTCTGGGAGGAGGTGGTGGCCCCCTGCGCCGTGATGCGGGACCAGCACCGTGAGTACCAGAAGCTCTCATGAGCGAAGATACACCATATGTTGGCGGGGGGTGAAAGCAAGATGGAGCTTGCCCTGATAAAGCTTTCTGGGGTGTGGGGGAAGCCCTGGGGTACCAGTGCATCCCAACATGTCCTATGCCCCTCTCTGCACCCAGCCCACGGGGACGGGAGGCTCTTTCAGCCGGAGCTGGAGTCCCCCCTGCAGCTGCGAGCCCACGGGCTGCTACCACGAGCTCTGGGGAACCCAAATCCGGGCTGGAGCAGGACCAGGCTGTGCTGCCCAGACTGGCTTTGCTCCCTTCTCCTGCACTGGGGGAGAGAAGGCAAAGTGCCAGAGGGAGTCCCCATGCTCCAGGACGCTGTGTCTTCACGCCGGTACCCTTCCTCGTGCTTCTCACCTGAACCTTTGCCCCCAGGGGACATCCTGACCAGGCTTTCGCAAGGCTGGAGGTTTCGCAGCGGGAATCTCTATTACTTCTCGCAAGAGAATAACACGTGGAGGGAGGCTGAGGGCTTCTGCACGGCCCAGCATGCGCACCTGAGCTCCGTCCTCTCCCAGGAGGAGCAGGTGAGTGTGGGCACATCACAGGGGCCAGGTGCAGGGCCCAGAACCTGCCCGTTCCCTCTGAGGTCTCCTGGATGAGCCTTGGGGCCCTGGGGCTTTCCAGACCCTGAATGCAAAGCGTGGGGCATGGATCTGTGGTACAGCATCCCCGCCGGGCTGGCATTCCCCAGTGCCCCTTCCCTGTGTGTCAGAGCTCAATCCCAGGCACCAAGGGCCTGCATGGACTTCAGGGCAGATGTGACAGAGGCTGATGTCCGAGACGGGCATCCACCAAACACCCCGTGCGAGCTGCTTGCCCCTGATTGCGGTCCTGGGGTTGGGGCCACGTGAGTGAGAGGTCCGTGCCCTGCGCTCTGTCTGCAGGAGTACCTTGTCAAGGAGACCAGGGGGATCCACTACTGGATCGGCCTTGCTGACCTCGGGGTGACGGGCACCTGGCGCTGGACAGACGGCTCTGTGTACACAAATGGGTAAGGCTGGACAGGCTGGATCCGCTGCTCCTGCCTGGGCAAGTCATCGACTCACAGACAGCGAGGGCTGGACGGGACGGCAGGGGTCACATCTAGTGCAACCTCCTGCTCCAAGCAGGACCAGCCCCAACTGCATCATCCCAGCCACGGCTTTGTCTACCTGGGGCTTAAACACCTCCCAGGATGGAGACTGCACCACCTCTCTGGGGAGCCTGGTCCAGTGCTTCACCACTCTCCTCTTCCAAATATCCAACCTCAACTGCCCTTGCTGCAGCTTGAGCCCATTGCTCCTTCTGTCACCTGCCCCCACTGAGAACAGCCCAGCTCCATCCTCTTTGCAAACCCCTGCAGGGAGGTGAAGGCTGCTATTCAATCCCCCTCGGTCTTCTCTTCTGCAGACTCAATCAGCCCATTTCCATCAGCCTCTCCTCACCAGTCATGTCCCCCAGCCCCACAACTATTTTCATTGCCAATTCTCCCATGTGTCCACATCCTTTCTGTAGTGGGCCCACAGCTGGGCACAGGACTCCAGATGTGGCCTCCCCAGTGCTGAATAGAGGGGAAGAATCACTTCCCTAGACCTACTGGCAACGCTTCTACCGATGCAGCCCAGGATGCCGGTAGCCTTCTTGGCACAAGGGCACACTGCTGGATCCTGTTCAGCTTCTTGTCCCCCGTCACCCCCAGGTCCTTTTCTGCAGAGCTGTTGCTTTCCCCCTGGGAAAATCCTTTTGCTGCAGCCTGCAGAGCTCAGCGCCAAGGGGAAGGGGCTGCAGGGATGAAGAGATGCACTCAGATTTCTGGGGAAATAGGGTGGTTTCTCCCCACGCTGAGCCTGGCTCTTTTCGTTCCACCAGAGCCCCCCGGCTGGGGAGCCCCAGCTTGGTGACACCAGCTCTGGAGGCTCCAAGGCCAGCCTGGGTGCCTCCCATGTGTCCCCATGATCATGGACACGTGCCCTGTCGCCCCCAGGTTCTGGAGCACTGGCCAGCCCGACAACTGGCACCAAAACATAGGGGGAGCCGAGGAGTGCGTGCACCTCAAGTCCAAGTCTCTGCACTCCTGGAACGACGGCAACTGCACGCGGCGGTACCGGTGGGTCTGTAAGAAGGCCCTGGGGCAGGCAGTGCCCTGACGCGGCAGCGCCTGGGAACCCCACACCCGGCGGCAGAAGAAACCCAATGGATGAGGGAGGCTGTGATGGAGCCTGGCTGACCCGGCAGGACGTTACTGGGGTCCTGCGGGGACCTTGATCCCGCTGGCGTGACCAGGAACAGTGTTGGGGGGACAGGCTGAGCAGCCAAGCAGCCACAGGACCATAAACGCTGGCCATCTTGGCTTGGCCAAGCGCACACCTTCAGGGACACGATATGCAGGAAAATAAAAGATGTGGAGACTCCCGATGTCTCTCCTGAGTTTGCTGTCCAGGCCAGAGGACAAAATCCATCCAGTCCCATGTCCCACCCCACCACAATGCATCCTTTTCCCAGTGTGGAGGAGACAGCACAATCCTGCACTGGTCCTGGGTGGGGAGTAGCCATCAGCACCCTTCGCCCACCCACCCCATTACTGTCGTATGCACCACACACCACAGGAGCCTGCTCCGGGGCCCTGGCAGCTCCCTGCAGACACCTGGCAATGGGCCCTGTCCCAGACGGGATGTGGGGCCAGCCTTGGCATCAGGACCTCCAGGCCCCTCATGGACACTGTCCAGGGAAGAGTTCCCCCAGTCCCCCCGTATCAGAGGGGAGCTACAGGGCACCGTGCATGCAAGGGAGCCTCTGAGCTGCCTCTGAATGAGCCGGCTCTGGGAGCAGCAGGACAGCAGTGCTATTGAGGCGGCCTCACAGACTGATGCACCCTGCAGAGAGACCCTGGGGACCAGGAGCCACTGAGCTGAGCCAGCTTCCCCAGGTGGAGATCCAGGCTCCAAGCTGCTCCAGCCCCCCAGGAACCCACTGCTTGCTCAGGGCCCCCGTGCACGTGCATGCACCAGCATCTCAGGAGCTGCCTGACTGCAGCCTCCGCCCTGGGCTGCATTTCTGCAGCCTCCTCCCTTTGCAGTTGAACAGAGCAGCACCCACCTGTGCCCTGAGGCATACACGCCCCTCCTCCTCTATCTGTCCCCCCAGGCTGCCCTGCCCTTCCAGGGCACAGCCCTTGCCCCAAACAGAGCAGCTTTGCAATGCTACTAGTGCAATGAGCACAGGGCAAGCTTCTCCAGCGTGCAGCTGCTCAAGTTATAACTGCGCTGCATGTTCAGGTGGATGGGTGACATGACCCCAAGTTTGCTGACGACAGTAAATGGTGCAGGGCAGTAAAGAGCAAGGTGCACTGCCAAGCACTGCCAGCTCTGGTCCCCACACCTGAAACGAGAGAGAAGAACTGGAGACGGTGCGGGAAAGGGCAGTGAGGATGAGGAGGGGTGTGGAGGGGAAACTGCAGGGGCCAGGCCTGGGCAGAGATGCTGGTGGGGGGACAGGAGGAGGGTTTACAACATACTCAATGGGGAAGACAAAGTCACTAAGGATTTATTACTGACTGTCTCTCACCAGACAAGAATGAGGGGCGCAGCATGGAGCTAGCAGGCAGTGAGTTTAAAACAAACACCAGGCAGGTCTGTTTTCCTCATGCGGCATTTAAGACTGGGACTCGTGGCCCTCAGATGCAGTGGGAAATGGTTGGGGGAGGAGAAAGGACTGGTGAGGAGAGGCTGATGGAAATGGGCTGATTGAGTCTGCAGAAGAGAAGACCGAGAGGGATTGAATAGCAGCCTTCACCTCCCTGCAGGGGGGCTGCAAAGAGGATGGAGCTGGGCTGGTCTCAGTGGGGGCAGATGGCAGGACAAGGAGCAATGGGCTCAAGCTGCAGCAAGGGAAGTTGAGGCTAGACATTAGAAAAAAACTCTCACCAGGAGGGTGGGGGCTGGGAGGGGGCCTGGTTATGGGGGCATAGGCCTGGGGTTGGGGGTGCTACAGGATCACAGGCCGGGAAGGGGCCCAGATCTTGCAGCCCAGTGCAAGGGAGAGGGGGTTGGGTCCAAGCTGGTTGCAGCTGCATGTGAACAGGCTCCAGGCTGAGCTATTGGCTCCCCCCCGGCTGCTCCAGCAGAGCCTCCCAGCCCCCCATGTACAACACAGCCCGTCCCCTTCCCTCTTTGTCCCCCTCCTTGTTTGCAACGTGAAGTCCCTCAGTCCAGGCGGGCAACATGCCCTGAGTTGGACATGGCCATGGAGCAATTAGTGGGGAGGAAGGGGGACTGGTGCTTAATTGGAATTAAGGCAGACCAGGTTCACAGATTTCATAGACATTCGGGCTGGAAAGGACCTTGGAAGATCACCGAGTCTAGGCCCCCACCCCAGGGGCAGGAAGTCAGCTGGGGTCACAGGATCCCAGCAAGATAAACATCCAATTTACTCTTGAAGGTATTCAGAGTAGGCGCTTGAACCACCTCCGGTGGCAGGCTGTTCCAGACCTCGGGGGCTTGGACAGTAAAGAAGTTCTTCCTTATGTCCAGCCTGAAACGGTCTTGCAGTAGTTTATAACCGTTCGACCTCGTCATCCCTTGGGGCGCTCTGGTGAACAGACGTTCCCCCAGATCCTGGTGAGCACCCCTGATAAACTTGTAGGTGGCCATCAGATCACCCCTGAGCCTGCGCTTTTTCAGGCTAAAGAGCCCCAGGGCTCTCAGCCTGTCGTCGTAAGGTCTGTTTTCCTGACCTCTGATCATGTGCGTGGCTCTTCTCTGGACTCTCTCAAACTTCTCCACATCCTTCTTGCAACCCGGCGTTTTGGTCCTTTTCTTAGCCGCAGCATCGCATTGCAGGCTCATGTTCATCCTGTGGTCAATGATGACCACCAAGTCCCTTTCATCCGTAGTGCTAGCCAACATAGCACTGCTGAGGCTATAAGCATGCTTCAGGTTTTTCCTCCCAAGGTGGAGAACCTTGCATTTATCAGTGTTAAACACCACCAGGTTCTCATCTGCCCATTTCCTGAGCCTGTCCAGGTCAGCCTGGATCGCCCGCCTGTCTTCTGGTGTGGATGCTTTACCCCAAAGTTTGGTGTCATCGGTGAACTTGGCCAGTCCGCTTCTGATTCCAGTGTCCACAACATTGATGAAGATGTTGAACAATATGGGTCCAAGGACAGAGCCCTGGGGGACCCCACTGGTCACAGGGCACCACGACGATTGACTTCCATCGACCATCGCCCTCTGGGTCTGACCACGGAGCCAATTCCCCAGCCAGCGGATCGTGGTGACATCAAGGCTGCAGTTAGCCAGTTTCGCCAAGAGGTGATCATGGGATACCAGATTGAAGGCTTTTTTGAAGTCAAGGTATACAGCGACAATCCCCTCTCCCTTGTCCAGGAGTTAGGTCACCTGGTCATAGAAGGAAATGAGATTGGTCAAGCAAGACCTACCAGGAATAAACCCGTGCTGGCTATCCCTCAGGGTGTTGGCGTCGGCCAGTCTGTTAAGGATGGCCTCTTTGATAAACTTTTCCAAGACCTTCCCCAGGATAGAGGTCAGGCTGATGGGCCTGTAATTTGCCGGATCCACTTTCCTCCCTTTCTTGAAGATAGGCACCACATTGACCTTCTTCCAGTCTTCGGGCACTTCACCGGAGCGCCAGGCGCTCTCGAAGACCCGTGCCAGGGGCTGGGCTATGATGCTCGCCAGATCCTTGAGTGCCCTGGGGTGTAAACTGTCAGGGCCAGCTGACTTGAAGGTGTCCAGCCTCTCAAGGTGTTCCTTCATGAGGTCAGCACTGATGGAGGACAGGGGATCTCTCTCACCCAGACCTCCCTGTCCCGCAGTGGGCAGAGCTAGTTTCTGCATACTATCACTTTCTCTTGCAAATACAACAGAAACTGTTGAGACTTCCACCTTGGCCACATTAGAAAGAGTTCATCTCTATAGCACTTCCTGTGCTATAGCTATATCAGTAAAAAAGAAGTGCACCTTATATTGGAGCAGGGGTGTAGGTTTTAGCCATATTGGTCTAAGGACATAGGCAGACAAGGTTCCTTGGGTGAATTTGATATCTTTTATTAGACCAACCCAAATAGTTGGAGAAATGTTATTAAGCAAGCTTTCGGGTTCAAAAACGCTTCGTCAGGCTAAGGAAGTTTCAGCAGTTGGTGTGTGCTCTTCCTGGATAGAAGCCAAGAAGGGAAAAGCCAAGAAGAGGGGCACTAAAAGTCACTGAAGTTACTGCTTTAGTGCGTGCCGAAGGGCTGCTCCCTTAGAAGACATTCATGATTTGATGGCTTAGACACACAAAGATGCCCAACAGGGCCAAGGACCCCAGCAGCCACATCCGCCGTGAGCCTCGGCTAATGACCGTTGTCCCAGCGTAGGAGGAACGAGCATCCTCGCTAGCTGCTGTGGGTGCCGACTACCCATTAGCACCCGCTGGCCCTGGGCTCGCAGGCCAGTTGCCTGCTCTGACCCAGTTCTTCTGTGGCCTCCTGGCTCCAGACCCTGGTTTTCCTGACTCCTGACCCTGCACCGATCTTCTTGAAACTTGGCAGGCTTCATGCTCTCAGCAGAGACTACAATCCAAGCCCTGCAAATTTCATCCAAATCAGACAGAAAACAACAAAGTTATAGATATTTCATTGTTCCCCCATTATACCCTATGGCCGGATCTCCGAGGCAGCGCCGAAGCACTTCGGGAAGCCAAACGATCCAGCGCTTTGATCCAGACATGCTGCTTCAACCCTGAAGCGTCCAAAGCTTCTCTGGATCCGAAGCTCGGTCCAAAGCCTCGCACAGCCCTAGTGTTTGGTGTGGGTCTGCGGTCCCATCGCCTGTCTGCACGGGGTTGAGCCTTGCAGGGAGACCACGGCTAGTCTTCGTGTCCTCAGGATGGTGTCTAGAGGCGGCGTCGACACAAACAGCTGCAGGCCTAAGGGCTTTGGCCAGCAGCCTTTCGCTTGTCACTTGCTCACTTGACCCATCACCCTCCAGACCAGCCCACCCACCCAGTGACCATTCGGTGTGCCCTTCTTCCAGGTTGCCACGGAAAGGCGGGCAGAGAAGTCCAGAGGGGACAGAGGTCCAACCCTTGCTTTCTTTGGTGCAGGTCAGGGTCGCTGAACAGTATGGCAAGATCCTGGCTCAAAATGAAGAGGCTCCCAAGGAGACCTGCCTGGCCCTGCCGGAGGAGCTCTCGGCCCCCGTGACGGACAGCATCAGTGATGGAGGTTACTCACGACCTGGTGGTTATAAGGTCTACAAGGCAGACCGGAGGCAGGTGGTGGAGAGTTACTGGGCGAAACCCAACAAAGGGGCAAGGTGGGTGTCTGCAGCCGGTGTCTGCCGGGAAGCAGGCAGAGGAGGCGGCAGTGCTGCAGGTGGACACCAAGCTGGCCAAGGGGGAGA